GACACTTTTCTTGAGAGAAAAGTTGGGAATCTCCCTGCACTCACACAAAAGAGGTGCAAACAGTGGCAGGTGTTCCAGGTTAGTCCTTCGGGGACCCTCACAGCAACAACCTTGTGTTGTTCCAAGGGGTTTTGTGTTTGGGCCTTGGCTGATTCCTGCTCTTTCCCACCAGCCCGCGTGCAAGCCGAGATCGACGCCGTCATCGGACAGGCACGGCAGCCAGTGCTGGAGGACAGGAACAACATGCCCTACACCAATGCTGTCATCCATGAGGTGCAGAGGAAAGCCAACATTATCCCTTTTAACGTGCCAAGAATGGCAGCAAAGGACACAATCGTGGATGGCTTCTTCATCCCAAAGGTAAGCTCACCCTGAGCACTGGGACCTCAGGGAGACTCCCAGCTCCCCAGGCACAATTCACCAGGCCAGGTCCCTCCTGCACAGACACACTGTCCCTGCCCTGTCCAGAGTTCACTCCTGCTCAATCTGGATTTTTGCCATCCAACCAACCAATATTCTCCAGCTCCCCAAAGGGTGCAGAGCCCTGCAGGGTGCCACCCTGCCCGGGCACACCTTCGAGGCACAGATCCCAGCTCACAGAGCTCTTACAGGAACTCTGGCCCAAGATTACAGCAGACAAAAGTGATGCTGATGAGGGGAAAACATGGTTCTATAATCACTGCACCTCCTGGCTCTGCAGGAATTGTCAGACAAATAATTGCAGTAGAATTTGACTCTGCATGTTCTTCCTGGAGAGACTGGAAGATAAAGCTGCCCCTCCTGCTGTCAGTGCAAGAGAAAGTGTGTATTTTTTTTCTTTTTCTCCTCTTAGGGCACTCTTTTGATGACAAATATAACCTCTGTGATGTTTGACAAGAACGAGTGGGAAACCCCTGACACTTTTAACCCTGGGCATTTCCTGAAGGATGGGAAGTTCTGGAAAAGAGAATCGTTTCTGGCATTTTCTATGGGTAAGATTTGCTGAATTGTTCTGAGGCAGTGGTCTTGGGTTTCCAACTGCGTGATGAAGACAGAGAGGAATATAGTGATGGAAATGGCAGATGCACCCTGGAGATGCCGCTCAAACAGTGGCCACGTGGTCATCCCAAAGCACCACAACCACACTCAGAACCCTTTCTTGTCTCTCTTTCTAAATGCAGAGAAGGGAGATGAGGATTAATAAAAATCCCTGATAATTCCAGAGACCCCAGGAACACCTTCGCCAGGGCAGAAGCATCATTCTGTGCTCCTGCTCCCACATGGCTGAGTTCACTGGGGCCTCCCTGTTGCCACCCCAGGCTACCCCAGCCAGCAGCTGCCCTGGGGAGGTGGCTTTTAGCACCCCTGTTTCCCATACCAGCATCACACACCTTCTCAGTTTGGGCTGCAAAACTCATCCTGGGAAGGGATCAGGGACCATGGTCCTGAGGGAAGGCAGAAGCATTTCCAGCAGCAAAAGCTCAGTCTGAGGATGCCGTGGCTTGCTGTCTCCGCAGGGAAGCGCGCCTGCCTGGGCGAGGTGCTGGCCCGCTCCGAGCTCTTCCTCTTCTTCAC